TATGTAGGATGTGCAAGACGCTTAACTGTACTGCTAGGTACCGACTTTGGCTGAGTGGTAAACTTGACCCTCCAACACGAAGATGTAGTCTGCACTCAGACACTCAGCCGATCCAGTACCCAGCATGGATACACATTAGTTGTAAAACAGCTTTTCAAAAAATAATTTTAATTCCCACTGCTTAGCAAACATTATACACATTAACAAATTATTCAAATGTTTAGATTTTAATTACTTTTAATTAAAAAAACAACATCGGTTTGCTAAAAACAAAGTATGGTCTTAATTAAAACAAAAAGTAAAAATTAACCAAAACAAAATAAAATAACATTAAATATAACCCTCTATAAATCTTCGTATGCATGACTGATTTTAATACCCTAGTTCAGTTTTAAAACATTAATAACGCAGATTACAATGATAAACAGGGCCGGCGCTACCTATAAGGCAAACTAGGCGGTCGCCTACGGCGCCATCCCTAGGAGGGGGGCGAAAAGGTTTAATCGCTATTATCAAAAGGTACCTAATGATTAATAACTTGTATAAAGGAGTATCAGTCTATTTCGGCACTATCAATTTTGCACCCCCATCCCAAAATTAGGTCTAGATAGGCTTATATTTATTCGCGATGGTGAAAATGCAACCCCCCTCCCTAATTTGGAAAGTCGGGGCGCTTTTTACCAGTCACTTTGCCTTTTTAATTTGGTGTCACATAATTGATGTAGAAAACGATTAAATTAGTTCGTAATTTTAATTTAATTTCCAACGTTTCAAACAATTATCTAATTTTAAAAGGGCTTGTAAGACTCGTTTTCTCTGACTTTGAATTAGAAATCTGTCCTGTGTATAGAGTTTTGTAATGAGGGGTAGTTCAAAGTATTATACTTGTTTGGTAAGTTTTGATTTTGGAGTAATTGCGGAAGGCTGTTGCTGATTGGTTTCGTAGGTATAAAGTATCGAAGTGTTAATGTGTCATAGTTTTTATTCGGCTGTTTTGTAGTTGAAGGTCTAGTGGAATCTGATTGGTAGTAGAGAAATGAGAATGTAGGTGATGAAGTATCGTAGTTCTGGAGTTAGGGAGAATTGATTCTTGTGGTATTATGGTATTGAATTATATTGACTGTTAAAGTGTAGTAGCAGGTCCAGTGAAATCGTTGTTGATTGGGAGTAACATTTGTAGATCTTGGTGAAGTCAAACGATTTGGTGTCGTAGTTCTGGAGCATCGAGACTAGTCATGTTTAGATATCGAAGTTTGATATGTGTTGTGAATGTAGTAGAGTATATCGAGTAGTCGAAATTCTCTTAAGTTAGATGATTTCAATTCAGTACGGAACACACTACAAAGAAAGGTAGGCGTTCTCTAGTTGAAAAAATGTTTAGTTTTTTAGGAATCTATTTTACCACTCTTAAAGTAATAATATATAATATTAAATAGGATGGAATTTATAACTAACCGTAAACTTTTTTTTTTCATTTTATAATTTTTTGAATTTTAATCAATAATTCTAGCATCGTATAAAACAGTTTTTTTTTTTTTTTTTTTTTTTTTTTTTTACGTCTCAGTGTTGTAGATTTGACTTTCAGCGCGCCCAGCCAATGACTGGTGGCAGTAGCTGATTTTTACTACGTTCATCATGCGACATAAGAAGACTGGTGCAGATTTACAATATAAACTATTCCTGAAACTTTCATTCTCAAAATTTTTTACATGTTATTTACAGAATAAAATATGTATTTTATAGGGAGGGGGGGGGGGGTTTATTTCATGGGCCAAAAGCAATTTGCTATTTCTGAAAATTAAAGTTATAATTGGGGCAATATTTGGCTATAATAAATAAAAGTGCTGAGTTATGGTAAACTTTATATTAACAAAATTTGGCTTCGAAGGTTGGTCTAGGCTTCCTAAAGGGGGGGGGGGGGAGAAGTACAAATAGTTATATATGAAGTATACAGGAAAACATGATATGCTATGTACAATAGGTAGTTGCTATTTCTGAATAATAAAGTTGAAAAGGGGACAATATTTGTCTATGATAAATAAAAGTGATGAGTTGTAGTAAACTTTATATTAACAACATTGGCTTCAAAGGTTTGTCTAGGCTTCCTAAAAGAGGGGAGAAGTACACATAGTTATGTCTGAAGTATACAAAAAACATGATATATTATGTACAATAGGTAGTCATTTGCATTCACGCTTTCCATTTGTACCTATTATCTGCAAACAGTCTTCATTTTTATTTTTTTTTAATCAAAATTTTAAAATAATTAAACTTCAAAACAAACTTATTAATTAATTTGAGTAGGTAATGTACAGAGATGATTGTTAAATCAAATATGTTGAACGTATTTGAATTACATAAAAGGACAAATTTATAAGAGGGGAGCGGTGGTGGGTCAGTGAGGGAGGTGGGTGGGGGTTGGTTGGGTAAGGCGACCTAGACAGCGTGATCGTTTTTGCTACGCTGAGTAAACAAAAATCGTTCACTGGAAATAAAACAGTTACCCGTGTTTGAATTTTTAAAGACGTCCCTTTATTAAAAGATCTAACATTTATATTGACATTTGTAATATGTCATCAGTATTGAATAGAAGTTGTTATAAAAAAGCTACAGTTTTTAGACTTTCAAACAAAATCTACATTTAAGTATTCAATTGGTAAAATATATTGTTTTCACAAGATTACATAGCAAATATAAAATACGTTTTGATAATTATTACGTAATGAAATTTAGAACGTTTTATTGTGTTTTTCAAGCATGTCTTAGTTACACTTGGTTAATTTAGCTATTCTTGTGAAAGTTATTTCCCATGAATAAAATTTTGGTATTTGGATTTTCAAATGGGAGATAATTCGTTGCTTAACTTTACATTCATTATTTCAAATTCCTGCACCTTAGGTTAACCGCTTACATATAAATACAACTGTAAGTTATTATTTGCTATTGTAAAAATTATATAGAGCTTAATTTCTAAACAAAATAGGTTGGTAGGTTTTTTTAGCATTATTAAGTCGATAATCAAAAACATCAGTAGCCGTTGTAGATTGCAATACTTATGTAAATGTTAGTAGACATACAGTCTTAGTCGTAAATTAAACAATTATAATTCTTTTCACATTTTTCACGCTCTCCTAAAGGATTAATAAATAACATTTTTAGTTTTAGGCTTTAATTTTTAACATTTATAACCTTTCATTTTTCAAAAAAAAAAAAAAAAAAAAAAAAAAAAAAACGTTACAGTAGCGGAACTAGAAATAAACCGGGAGTGATCTCCCCTAAACTTTCTCGAATATTCTAATATAACACTACGGGGGATGGCAACTCAGGGCATAGACAATATTGGTAATCCATTTTTAATTACTTTAACTTTTTATAATAAAAAAAAAAGAATTGCACACACAGTGAACGCCAAATAAAGTGTGCATAATAGTGCGGGATATTATTAGTACTTTATAAATTCACATGCTCTTTTTTGAGAAATCAGAAATAGCGTAAATTGCTACTTCCGGTCAACGGAAATTACTCAAAATTTGTTAGAAGGTAGAGAATTAGAGCTTTTACTTACGTTTGAAATTTCATTTATCTATCTGAAATAGTACTCAAGTTATAGGCGTTTGAAAAATTCAAAGTAGAAATAACCGGGAGTGATCTCCCCTAAACTTTCTCGAATATTCTTATATAAAACAACAGGGGCTGGGAACTCGGGCTATAGACATGATTTTTAATCCATTTTAAATACTTAAAGTTTTAAAAATAGAATAAAATCTCGTAGACAAAAGAATTGCACACCAAGTGAACGCCAAATAAAAAAAAAGTGCATAATAGTGCGCAACATTATTAGTACTTTAAAATTTTACATTAGTTTTTTGAGAAATCGGAAGTAGCGTAAATTAGTACTTCCAATCAACGGAAATTACTCAAAATTTAACAGAAGGTAGAGAATTAGATCTTATACTTACATGTAAAATTTCATTTATCTATCTGAAATAGTACTCAAGTTATAGGCTTTTGAAAAATTCAAAGTAGAAAAAGTACCACTTCCGGTTATCGGAAATCGCTCAAAAATTGATACGGATCTACGATTTTGATAAAATACTTATATATGAAATTTCATCAACCTAGCTGTAACGGTTCTCAAGTAATCGTGTTTAAACACACACAGACAGACAGACCCACAGACATACGGACAGAATTGCAAAGCCCAGTTTTTCAGACTGGATTACGCATAAAACCTCTTAATTTTGATAAATCTGGATTGATAATTTTTGCCCGATTAAAATAAGTCCTCTATACTTCGGATGTGATGAATGACTGAGATGTAATACGGTGAAAATTGTTAAAATTTCAAGTGATTTTTGTGCACGATTACAATACTTTCTCTATACTTCGTATATACGAGAAAGTAAAAAAGTCCACTTACGGTTATTATAAATCGCTTCAAAGTTGATACGGATCTACGATTTTGATATAATACTTATATATGAAATTTCATCAACCTAGCTGTAACGGTACTCAAGTTATCGCGTTTACAGACACACGCACACATACACACACACACAGACATACGGACAAGATTGCAAAATTATGTTTTTCCGACTCAGGGAGGTGTAAAACGTCGAGATTTGCAAAAATCTCGATTTTTTTTGGGCACAATTACAAGACTTTCTCTATACTTCGTATATACGAGAAAGTAAAAAAAAATACTTGAACCACACCTTACCTGTTGTCACGTCTGAAATAATATTCTTCATTTACTTTTTAAATACACTGACAGTAAAGATAATATTTGTTTTACTTTCACAACAGATGTGTGAAGGATTTAAGATTAGCGAAAATGTTTTTAAAATATATATACTATTACCCCCAAATTTTATATTTTGCTCTAGCATCTAGCTATTAGTATCTTGAGGTTAACGGTGACACAACCAATGGAAATAAACAAATGTTAACAAAAAAAGGATTGTATACAACATTTAGTCATAGTATTTAATGTGGAGAAGAAAAAACCAAAACTCTAATTTAGTATAGAAACGGAATGTTACATTTATTTTTAAATTTAAATGTGTAGAAAGAATGGCAAAATTTAAAAAAAAAATGTATTGTGTTGATAAAATGACCAAATTTTTAATTTGTGTAGAGATGGAATTGCCAGATTTTTATTTAGCGTAGAGACGAAGTGACCGGATTTTAATTAGTGTAGAGATGGAGTGGCCAGATTTTTAATTAGTGTAGAGACGAAGTGAACAGATGTGTAATTAGTGTAGAGACGAAGTGACAAGATTTTAATTAGTGTAGTGACGGAATGACAAGATTTTGATTAGTGTAGAGACGAAGTGACCAGATTTTAATTAGTGTAGTGACGGAATGACAAGATTTTAATTAGTGTAGTGACGGAATGACAAGATTTTAATTAGTGTAGAGACGAAGTGACCAGACTTTTAATTAGTGTAGTGACGGAATGACAAGATTTTAATTAGTGTAGAGACGAAGTGACCAGACTTTTAATTAGTGTAGTGACGGAATGACAAGATTTTAATTAGTGTAGAGACGAAGTGACCAGACTTTTAATTAGTGTAGTGACGGAATGACAAGATTTTAATTAGTGTAGAGACGGAATGACCACGCGATTGTTCTGGAAACTACTCAGCAGCTCTGGTGCTCCAAGAAGACCTTGACCTAGATTGTAATTTTTATCGCAGGACTCGGGAACATCCGCATACGTCATGGCCATTTCAAAACATCTCTCAGAGAAGTAGCTCCGGAGGCTCTGTGGGTAAAGTTTTCTGGCTTTAATGATGTCATTAACAGAACAAACAATTAGGAGTGTATTTTTTTAAAATACCATTCGGCCCGAATACACATCACAGTTGTTTATTGTTAACATTAACCCGACTTTCTCAACACTGAACCCTCTATGTACGACACACTGTTCAACACTGAACCCTCTACGAACGACACACTGTTCAACACTGAACCCTCTACGAACGACACACTGTTCAACACTGAACCCTCTAGAAATGACCCACCCTGTTTAAATATAAATCCACTACAAATGACCCACCGAGTTCAACTATAAACCCACTACAAATGACCCACCCTGTTTATCACTGAGCCCTCTAAAATGACCCGCCCTGTTCAAATATAAACCCTATAATTATGACCCACCCTGTTCAAATATAAACCCTCTACAAATGACCCACCCTGTCCAAATATAAACCCTCTACAAATGACCCACCCTGTTCAAATATAAACCCTCTACAAATGACCAACCCTGTTTAACCCTGCGCCCTCTACAAATGGCCCACCCTGTTCTAATATAAACCCTTTACAAATGACCCACCCAGTCAAAATATAAACCCTCAACAAATGACCTACCCTGTTTAACACTGACTCCAGCCACCGCCTGACGGGAGTCACGTGTTCATTCTGTGACTGCCACAGCACCAAGAAGTCCTCCACGATGTGATGCAGAGAGTCTGGTCTGGGCAGACGATCGTACTGGTGCTTCAGCAGGAAATCCTCTTCTGAAACATGACAGTCACCAAACGTTTGGCTCAGATTGTGTGATCCCAGACAGAGGCGTAGCGAGGGGGGGGGGGGCGGGGGTGCGGACCGCACCGGGTGACACTATTTAGGGGGGGGGGTAGACACCAAGGCAAAAAATAGCAAAATATATAGAGAAAAACTTGAGGGGGTGCAAATCGAAAGTTTGAGAGGGGGGGGGGGGTGCAAATCGAAAGTTTGTGGGTGGGAGGGGGGTGCAAATCGAAAGTTTGAGGGAGGGTGCAAATCGAAAGTTTGAGGGAGGGTGCAAATCGAAAGTTTGAGGGAAGGGTCGCTATGTTTCTGGGGGGTGACACCATTAAGTGCCGCACCGGGTGACACCCGACCTCGCTTCGCCACTGATCCCAGAAATATATCTTTGTGTTCTGTTCTAAAGTAAATACATCAAAGTATGTACAAAAAGCTCCCCACGAACCTTACGGTCCGTGGGGCAAGTGAAGTAGAGTTCACCTGTTTCTGTGACCTCGGCATATGAAGAGATAGTGTGGTCAGCACTATCAAGATTACCTGAGGGTAAGTCTATCAACATTACCTGTGGGTAGGTGTATCAAGTTACCTGTGGGTAGGTGTATCAGGTTACCTGTGGGTAAGTATCAAGATTACCTGTGGGTAGGTGTATCAAGTTACCTGTGGGTAGGTGTATCAAAATTACCTGTGGGTAAGTATCAAGATTACCTGTGGGTAGGTGTATCAAGTTACCTGTGGGTAGGTGTATCAAAATTACCTGTGGGTAAGTATCAAGTTACCTGTGGGTAGGTGTATCACAATTACCTGTGGGGAGTTGCTTGTAGTAAAAGAGAATCGGGTGCAGGAAATAAGACTGGTGGGCCTGACTGGCCTTGGCGTCAAATTTTTGGCTGGAAATGTCTGGAGCTCCGTAGTCCAGGATGGTTACGATGACCTGGGATACAACGTTTATACTTTAAGCGATGTAGTGACAAGGTTCATTCAAACAATTCGTAGGGCAGTTGTGTGGATATTAGTCTGACATCCACTTAGTCTAATCAGTGAGCCCAAAAGAGGGTCCACTGCACGAATCAAAGGAGTTTGTATTGGCGATGGGCCCCTACTGTAAGTTTGGAGCTAAGTTGAACGAATGATGTAATGTGGTTGCACGTTTTTGTTAGTATCTGTATAATTTATACTCCTGTCTTTTAAATGTTAAACTGGGCTAAGTTGTCTAAAATAAATGTTTAAAAGGCAATCAAGTCTGAATACACATGTGGTGGAAGTTTTTTTTTATGTTAGAAACCCTCATATTGTCCTTTATTTATCCCATTTACGTTTCCCTATATTACTTATACCTCGATAAAAGATGACACACATAGTTGTTGAATGCCTTAAAATGCCCCCACCCCCGTTTTGTTTATTAGCTAGGTATTTAACTTCCCATGCCAACCCTATAAGGATACCATATTCCATTGTGTTTAACAGCTGCCCTCATAAAGGATATACCTCAGTGGCATTATGCCCAGTCATGCGTGTCAACTGGGGCAGCAAGTTGATGGGAAACTCTTCCAGGTACGTCACCAAGTCACGGGCTCTGGAATATCCAGGAGGTGTTTTGATAATACAAATAGGGAAACACGTACCAGCTTATGCATGTTATAAACACATAAGATACTCAAACACATTTAATAAACACATGTTAAAACACATAAGACCCTCACATTAAAATACATTTAAAAAACACATGTTAAAACACATAAGACACATTAAAACACATTTAATAAACACATGTTAAAACACAAATTAAAACACATTTAATAAACACATGTAAAAACACAAATTAAAACGTGAAGATCTATAGATACACTCTCCAGCTGAAGGGTAAATTGCTAAACGTATCTGCCTGTCGACAGATAATTCTAGCTCTCATAAAATAAATCTACCTGTCTTTTGATAAGAAACCCACGACTAAAATCTATCTGAACATGATGACTAAAAGTACCTACTCAAAGATATGAAATATCTACTTTATATTCTAAATAAGTTGTTATCGAAAACCACCTGTAAAAATTCTACAATACAATGGAAGCATTGGTTCTTGCTGATATTAAGGTAAAACTTACCTAAGAATGTAAAGGTGAGATATTTACATTTCCATGTAAAGAAGAATTGCTGCATGGCAACATCAAGGTAAAACTTACCTGCGACTGTAAAGAAGGTGAGATATCTACCTATCAATTAACGCCACGTCTCCAAGGATCCCGTACATCTGGTAGAAGCCGGAGCCTTCGTTCAGCCTTTTGATGATGACGTTGAGCAGTTGGTGTAGAGGATACGTCGCAGACGGCCACGTGACACCCTCGTACCGCCACTCCAGCAGACGATGTAACGCTTGCGCTGGTCAAGGTCAAATACGATTTCATTAAGACACGGAAATGGTAATAATGATAACAAGATTTAGTTTTAAATAATTAATATATTAATTAAACTTGATACGTATAGATAGGTGATAGACATTTAATGTATTTCGTCAAGATATGGCTTCATAAGAAAGGATGTTACCCAAATTAGCATATAAACCTAACCTTTATGCTGATTTTAAATCACTGTTTCTTTCAGATAACTTTTCCAACGATATAGATTGTATATAGAAAATATATAGTTTTTCCCAGTGGCTTCCCCTCGGAAAATGTAGTCATTTAGTCCAACACCCCCCCCCCCCCCCCCCCCAAGAAAGTTTAGTTTCAAGTGCCACCCCAGAGAAAAAGTCTAAAAGAAACACTTTTAAATTAACTCACGTCGTAAAAGTACACAAGCTTAGCAATGACATACGCCATAAATCCTAACATCGCACATACAGTTTAATAACAGGTTAAAAGAGCCCATTCGTTTGTTTATTTTTAAAAATGTAATCATCGAAGCGTAGATGTCTATAGCTTAACAGCTAAATAATCTCAAGCTTTGGTATGAAACAACAAATGGTCTTACTTGTGTATCGAAACCCGTGTATAAATCCGCCAGCCGATTTCCGAAAGTCTAGTGAATGTGTCGCTGTGCCTGCGACAAATAGTCCCGGCAAGTCCACAGATTCGTACGCATGGGTGATGGCTGGGTACTTTTTGGCTTTCCCGACAGGTCTAGTAATGCTGGTCCCACTACGACAGAAGGAGTGAAGGTTTTAGGGGTCGTCCACAAATGTCTTCATACTTTTTGTCGAGTTTACCCTCCCCAACCCTCCAACTAATGTCACTCATCAACTCACACAAATACCCCTCATAATTTTACGCAAGATTTTATTCGTGTGATGACCCTTTAATGTATCGAGTTCTTTGCTGGATAGTAAGAATAATATCATAAGATTTTCTTCAGTGAAACACATTAGCATAAAAAATTAAATCCTTTAAAAAAAAAAAACCTCTCAAATTATTTAATTGTTTCAAATCAATGAACTGACTTGTGAATAAGTTAATTGAAATCACATCTTGCAGGTACAGGTGACTTACATCCAAATTCAGGTATCAAATTACTTAGCTTTATTTGATAACTGTGACTTATTAAAGTTGTCTAAGCCATATTCACATAATAGACGAATTGACAATAGATGTTCGTGTAAGTAATGCTAAGTCAGACTAGATCTATATCAAAGTTTTCAAGTAAACAAATACATTTTTAACCTCACGGTTCATCGTGCAGGGGAGGAGATTTCACTTAGACATATGAAGTTGCAAGGTGGTAAAAGTTATACCCAGCCGCCATCCCATGCGTCCGGTACTCACTATAGCTGTAAGAACTCTGGGACGCCCTGCGGTCTCAAGTTTGGGATTCGAACTCGTAACTTTCGAATTATCAGTCAAGTGCTCTACCACCCGACCACTTTGTATGACTGCATGTAATGACTGCATGCAATGACTGCATGTAATGACTGCATGCAATGACTGCATGTAATGACTGCATGTAATGACTGCATGCAATGACTGCATGCAATGACTGCATGTAATGACTGCATGCAATGACTGCATGTAATGACTGCATGTAATGACTGCATGTAATGACTGCATGCAATGACTGCGAGCAATGACTGCATGTAATGACTGCATGTAATGACTGCATGTAATGACTGCATGTAATGACTGCATGCAATGACTGCATGCGATGACTGCATGTAATGACTTACTTGAAGATGCTGGAGTCAAATGTGAAGCCCATACACCTGATGACCATATCGTAGCCGGACCTCAGAGGGAAGTTGTCGGGCACAGAGTCCTCGCTCTTGGAGTTGCTGTGGTACTGAAATAGTTAGTTGATTTTTTACGAGTATAAATGTGTCTTTATTTACTTCTCAAAGATAAAACATTTTCTCCATTGTTTGTATGACAGTAATGTTTACTCACGTGCTAATCTACAACATACCCCCACCACACACACGCCACCACATTCTCAATCCCTAACCACCTACAAAAAACCCTACCACCCTATACCCTCATTACACACGCAACCCCATCCCCACAAGAGCCCCCACCCCACCCTCCCCCACCCATACCCCCACTTCCAAACACCCAGCCCACCCCGAACCCCCACACCCCACCTCATACCTCCACCCCCACCAAACCCCCTATCCCACAGCCCCAACCCCCCACCCCATACCCCCACCCTTGAACGACCCCAAAATGTCGACTCACGTGTTTATCTACCACAACAAAAAACTTCCCGCCCCTCTCCTGAATGCTGGCATCCTGCATGTCCAGCAGGGTGATGCCGTCTAGTGACTTGAGCAGGTATGTGTCCAGCAAGTTGTTGTTCACGGACCTGCAACAGATGACCTGTATACATTCAACAACACCTCACAAGACAGTGGTTCTTAACATATCTGGAGGTACCGAACCCCACCAGTATCATATGATTATTCACCGAACCCTTCTACTAGTTCTGAAAAAAATCCTATCGTGAATCATATGAGTCGGATGTGTGTCTTGAAATCCGCTGAACCCCTGACACTGACTCGCCAAAACCCTGATGTTCGATGAAACATGCAGTTTGTATTTAAATGAAATATATCTTCACATGAGCTGAGGGTACCTGAGGTCCCCAACATAGTGAGTACTCCAGGCCAGGTCGACCGTCTGCTTGCGTGAGATGATGTGCACGTACTGTGTGCGGCTGTAGATGGAGTCTGCTGTCTCCATGGCCGAGTTGCCCATACCTGGGGAGGGATGGGGGAGGGATGGGGGCGAAGAAAATCGCAGGTATAGTTTTGAAAAGGGGTGGAATTTTAGATAAACAATTTATTTTCAAATCACCCAACATAAATATCACCCTACAAAAAACTCAGCCTTCAACATAATTTCCTTAAAAAATCATCATCTTACAAAAAAATCCCACAAAATTAACCTTAGAAATTATACCACAACAAAAAAAAAAAAAAAAACACCACAAAAACAGCACTATTAAACAACACAAAACACTACATAATTCGAAAGCACGCACCACTATAAAAAACAGACTAAAAACACACCACACCACAAAACGAAGCAGCACAGTACACACCACCCCACGAATCACTCACCCAGTACACTCTAACACACCCACTTACCCAGTACACACGAACACACCCACTCACCCAGTACACACTAACACACCACCCAATAGATCACTCACCCAGTACACACGAACACACCCACTCACCCAGTACACACTAACACCCCACCCAATAGATCACTCACCCAGTACACACGAACACACCCACTCACCCAGTACACACTAACACACCACAAAATAGATCATTCACCCAGTACACACTAACACACCCCCCACGGATCACTCACCAAGTACACACTGACACACCCTCTCACCCAGTACACTAACACATCACCCAGTACACACTAACGCCCCCCCCCCCCCTCACACACACACGGATCACTCACCCAGTACACACTAACACACCCCCACGGATCAATCACCCAGTACAATCTAATACACCACCAAAAAATCACTCACCCAGGATGAGCACACTCTTGTTCTCATACAGTTCCGGGTCAGTTGAGATACTCTCGTACCCGACAGCCCTCTCGATGCCTCGAACATCCGGGATATTTGGCTTCCACATACCCGTGGCGGCAATCACTCGTCTGTAAGGAAAACGTTATAAAACGTGTCCTCTGATTGGATGATAAGCAACCAATCATTATACCCAGCCATAGGCGAATATATCTTTTTTTTTTCTTTTTGGTGATGGGATTTAGATATATAAACATTTATTTGGGGTTGGAGCCTGAGTTTCTTTGAGGGATTATATTGAGGTGGGACAGTGACCCCTATCCTCGAAGCAAGCCTACCGACCAGCGCTGCGACGTAATAGGAAAAAAAAACTTATACATAAGATATGTACTTCAACAAATGTCCTCCCCACCCCCCGGGAATTTTAAGTACGACCCTCATTGAAGTTTCAAGTGCTCCAACCCCCCGATTTGTATACACATTTTTAAAAATCTTTTTTTAAAAATTAGCTTCAGGATTGCGTTTATTACTTTTATTCGGTTTTACATACAATTACAATGCTTTTTTTAAAAAAAAAAATAGATACGTCTGTTCGTTAAATGGGTTCTTTCTCCTGAAATTCTAGAAAAAAATGAACTGTTAAAATACTCACTTGCAGGAATATGTGACCTCGTTCTGGTCGTCCATGAGAAATCCGCCATCTTTGTTGTCAACTTTCCGTATATTTTTTATCTAAAATAAAAGTTGATAAAGGATATTACATTTATTTTGGTGTAAACGTTTTGAAGACTATGAAAGCTGATGTTAAAAGGCGAAACATAACATTTTGAATAGTTCTTTTTTGTGCTTTATAAATAGATTTATATTTTGAAAAAAAAATAAAACAGCAACTAACAAACATATAGAAGAAACCGTTAAAGTTTTAAACAAAGAACGAAGAGAAGACGTGTAATAATTAAACACGGATACCTGTGTGTTAAACTGAACATTGATGCCTAACTTTCTCTGGAAGTCTTGTAGGTACTTCACTAGGATGTCTGCAGGCGGGAAAATCTCCTGGAAATAAAGTATCTTAATAACAAAACTATGTATACCAAACAAAAATATAACAAAACAAAAGCTCCTACCTTGGAGTGATATTTCAATAACGGCACTCTATTTATAGCAACAAACAAAAAAGCCTGCAAATTCCCACGACGAGGTAATGTTTCAATCACAAAACTCTACATATAACAACAAGGAAAACCCACATCTAACCTTGGTGTAATGTTTCATGAGCAGACTTTCATCTTCTGAGATGAGAGAGTTCCAGTCATGACGGAATGAGAAGCCTTTGTTGAGTTGACCAGTGTGTCGTTTGTTGACGCTGATCAATTTCCTGTGGCGGGGGTAGGTGATGAAGAAATTACCTGTACAAGAATGGTTTTAATTCAAACCTAGGTAAATACATTTTTTAAATAATTGGGACGATGCACTCTTGATCGCAAAGTATACACATTTAGAAGGAGCTCACTCGTTCTTGAATACGGTAATTGCAGGCCCAAACTTTCGCTCATTAGCAATGCAGTTCGGAATAGCGTTAAAAATCAAACATTACCCTAATCTATGACACGTGGTTTTCCGCCAGGCTTTTGCTTCCTCTTCCCCCTGCATCACAACCACCTGATTTAGACACGAGGGTCCGGGTACGACAAACGGCCTCGAGCAAAGGGTTTCGATTTCGTTATTTTCAGGTAAGCAAGGGCGTGGTCTATCGCTAGTCCACGTCGTGCCGTGTATCACACTTGATGTAGCTACCATAACTCACCTGTAACTCACCTGTAATTACTCTCAACTCACCTGTAATTACTCTCAACTCACCTGTAATTACTCTCAACTCACCTGTAATTACTCTCAACTCACCTGTAATTACTCTCAACTCGCCTGTAATTACTCTCAACTCGCCTGTAATTACTCTCAACACACCTGTAATTACTCTCAACTCACCTGTAACTACTCTCAACACACCTGTCATTTATTTCAGCTCACCTGACGTGGCACTCTGCTCAAATATGACGTAATCCCGCCCCGACTGCTGCATGAAGTAGCCCAGCTGCAACCCAGCTGGCCCGGCTCCGACGATACAATAATCACGGCTCCCGGAGCTGTTGTCCACACGAGCGTGCAATCCTGGTGCCAGCCACAGCAAACAGCCCAAACACAACAGCCGGCTGTCCATGATGTTAGTGGCGGTCAACAGCTTGCTTCAAAGTCTTCAGTTAAGGAAGTAATTTTTAGTTCAATTTGACCAAAAACTGAAGTATGGTTGTGAGGCTAATTGTAAGTCACTGAGAATATTTGATAAACAAGTGTTAACCATATAAGAAAAAAAAACTATTTTCATATTTTAAAATTAGATAGATGCATAGTTTATATCAGGCTTATAAACAGAGTGAAACAAATTGTACCACTTCACGTGTTAAATGTGTTTGAACTGTCCAGACCTTTGTGGCGCCCACAGCTCCAAGCTAACGACTGGTTTGACGTTTGATGTCCAGCTAGATACCTTCGCCACACACTTCCACTATCACGTGACTTGGTGTAATGTCTTAATTTAGCATAAACTGTAGTTAGTAACGCGCTTTCCCATTGGTTGGTTGTAAACACAATAGACTGGTTATTAACAGATGTGTGATAGAAAGAAAAATATGGCTCCATAGTATAATCGACCATTGGATGATTGTACATTGGACATCCAAGCAAAAGGCCTGGACGGTAAGATGGTAAGAGCCAAATGTTGCCCATGCATCAGGCCCCCCCTCTCTCTCTTCACAGCTGATGGACCCAGGGGACAGGACGTTTCCTGTACAGCTTGGAATCAGTGGTGTGGCAGGAGCTGCCGAAATCAAACCAGAGTTGGTAACCCAATAGCATAAGGGCTCCACTTCAGTTTGAATTCTGACGTTTCTCTACTAGATGGGCTGCCATCCTTAGCTTATGAGCCTCAGTTGCCCGATGGTTTGAACTCGGGACTTTCAGGTTAGAAGCCATGTGCTTGACTGCCCAACCATTTAGAACCATGATTATTTTGTTTTTTCAGGAATTCGGCTAGGGGATATTGTCAGATATCAGTATTAGGGGTTATCTCATAACCGTTCTATTGAACCGAAAAAGTAAGATTCTATTTACTTTTAAACGATGTGATGTTGAGAATCCTTACTCATAATGTTAGCCTAACTCGTTATACGTCCCTATATGTTTATGTCACCTTTGTGGCACCTTTAAGACTCAAGGTCTAAGGGACATAAACATAATTTTTCAAATTTTTATTTGTAATTGTTTGTTTTTGCCCTTGTCAATACACATATAAACATGCCATAATGGAATGTGGGAGGAAGGTGTGTGTATGTGTGTGTGGGGTCTTTGCTAGCATGCACATATTCAACACTATTCGAGGGTTCGAAGCTAAACCAACAAGATTGAAAAGGTAAGTCAAATAATTATATCATCACGAAATAAAGCATATGCTAATTGGTGAACAGGCCTACGTGTCTCATATGCAAATACAGGATTCAGGTTATGGTTATAAATATCGATTCATCATAACGAAGAATAGACAATCCAGAGCATCGTGCCATTAGGGTTCCGTTAGGGACATTATGGTAGACAGGTGTACGGAATGGTTGATGTGGTTAAATCTTCTAGAATAATCCTTTGTTCTTTGTGTGCGTCGGGCTGGAGAGGGGGGGGGGGGGGGGGGGGTGGGAGTATGGGAAGATGGTACGGACGTACTGGTTTGAATAAAATATTTGGATAAGAAAATATAATAACGTTAGATGCTAGATGCAGCAACCGTTAAGACATTATAATGCCCCGAGTTACGAAAGCCTCAGACTACGAAAGTTTTAAATAAGGTCTTACAACAGAAGCGGATATCGCATGGAAACGGGGCATACAAAAATACACGAATTAGGTCCGCGTATACATTTTTTTGACCAAGTGACAAGAAATGACCGAATGTTCAAATAACGGATTGTTTAAATATGTTAGCCTAAGTAGAAGCCTTTTAAAAGAAAGTTTTCAACATTTTACAACAGAAAAGTAACGCCGTGTAGAAGAGCTAATGTATGTGATTATTGAGCATTATGCTGAGATGATTTTACTTAACTGACACAATTCACATACTCATTTGAGATAACTGAACTCAGGAGCTTAGGGTTGGCAGTCATTAGCTCCCACAACACCCCATAAAACACCATTTCAACCAAAAAGCTCCAAATTAATATAACACAACATAACAATTTATTGATACATTCTTTATTAAAATATCTGATGAAAACGTTTTTTTTTTATCACAGCTTCAGCAAAATCGTACACACAACAAAATTCTTTCTTCATACAACTGTCGTACATCAATATGTCATCATACAGTCACAAAACACCATACCATTATACACAGTCATACTAAACAATCATCATACACAATCATACTAAACAATCATCATACACAATCATACAAAACAATCATCATACACAATCATACTAAACAATCATCATACACAATCATACTAAACAATCACCATACACAATCATACTAAACAATCGCATATACAATGAATTCTCACGCAAACCCATTAATACATTTTAAAGAAAGGGAAATAACTACCGCATAAAAGTGATCTCTAGCGTGAAAAGTGAAACTTAGTAAGCTTTCCAAAAATAAATGTATGCACTTGTATAAAGAAATTTGTGACATTACACTTAAAGCGAATACAATTATTGTATTAATGATGACAAACCTAATTAAAAATAATTTAATGCCTCAGTGAAAAAAAAACATAGTTTAGTTAAAACAATTAGATAAACATTTATTTTAATCAGCTTAACCTATGGTTGATTGTTTCCATATTTCAAAAAAAAATATTTAGTTAATTATGTCAAAAAACGATTTCTAACTAGAGATATGTTTTCATTTTTAACTAACTCAGTACTAATTCTCCCTGCTGACTTTACCAGTAGAACTACAACCTTACACACACACACAGAAGTATGACACATGCTAATGTTACATAAGATTGATGGAGGTATGCTGGGTAACTTAAATATCATCATCTGTAAAGTCATCCTTGAAGTTCCTGGCAGCAAATGCTATCGCCTCTTTGATTCTATGGCGGCTGGAAACAAAATAAAGAATGAAAATTTAACATAGAGCATAAAACTGTATAACAATTACAAATAGGCAGAAAATGTGTTAACTTTTGATAGGCCTACATTTCTCCAAATTTATTTAGACCCTTAGAGATCCACCTATAGTAAAACCAACAGTTTCTGAAATACTTAGCCACACTGAAAGTTGGATTTTAATACCGATAAATTATACGGAAGATAACTAAAAAGTTACAAGAAGTTAGGAGACTACATTTTTTTCATACAGGTAGCCTGTTCTGGCTTTTAAAAAAAATTAATAGTTACCTTAATTCAGCTACAGTTTACCAAGCACATAGCTAGTTAAAAAAGATGATATGGATGACCCTAAGTTGAAGAAGATGATGTGGATGATCCAGAGTAAGTTGAAGAAGATGTTGTGGATGATCCAGAGTTAGATGAAGAAGATGATGTGGATGATGGTTTAACCAACAACCTACCTGCTACACCTGCTGGAGCCAGGTACATCATCAGGTTCCGGTGACGATGACTCACTGTCTGAAAACTGAGCCTTCAGCTCTTTAAGACTGGCGGCAAAATTTGACTTTGTTTCCTTTTGCTCAATGGGGCTCAGAGCTATTGGCTCTCTGGTGCTGTTCTCAACTTCAGAACCTGATGTTGGTGCTGGTGCATGAATCCTGTTCTCATCTTTAGCACCTGATGTTGGTGCTGGTGCATGAATCCTGTTCTCATCTTTAGCACCTGATGTTGGTGCTGGTGCATGAATACTGTTTTCAGCTAAAGCACCTGACTTTGGTGCTGGTCTGTGTATCCTGTTTTCACCTTTAGTACCCGACACTGTTGGTACACTTGTCCTATTTTCACCTTTAGCACCTGTTCTTGTAGAGTCTACGGCAGTAGCACCAATTCTGGAACCACCTTTAACACCTGTGATGTTCAAGTCTACAGGTGTGGCTGTTCTAAATGTTTCAGGTAAACTGGTACTAATATCCAGGCTCACAACAAGACTTCGCAGTGAAGTCAGTCTGGAATGTCAGAATTATTCGTAAAATTAAGTCTGAAATGTCATAATTATAAATAAATTAAGTCAGAAACGTTAAAATTATAAAATAAGTGAAATCTGAAACGTTACATAAATAAGTAAAATTAAGTCTGGAACATCACAATTATAAATAAAATTAAGTCTTATATGTCAGAATAATAGATAAAATTAAGTTTAGAATGTCACAATTTATACAAAAGAATATAGCTCCTCATGTATATTTGGTGTGCCGTATCTACAAATGATATAGTATGTTACTGTCAAAACCAATGATAGTATTAACCTATCAATCAATAATGTCAGAATAATGTCACAATGATGTAACAATGACATTGCAATGAGGTCACAATAGTGTCACAAATGTCAAAATAATGTTATGATGCTGAAATAAGGTCACAATGATGTCATATTAATGTCACATTATTGTCACATTAATGTCACATTATTGTCACATTAATGTCACATTAATGTCACAATGCTGTTCTACCTGGCCTCTATAGACTTATGAAGTGATTCTTCCTGTTCATGAACAGCTTTGATTTGTGAGTCAACTTGTCGTACACTGAGGACTGGAGACAAAAATAAGAATTTTAACATTTATACACTAAGCTGATTCTTAACACTGTAACATATAATTAATTATTAAACACATTGCAGAATGTTAACATTTAAACACATAATTAATTATTAAACATTTAAACACATTGAAGATTGTTAACATTTAAACATATAACAGATTTTTAATAATCAAACACACAGCAGATTCTTCACATTTAAGTGAAGACAAGTGTTTAAAGAACAGCAACTCACTGCTTGAAGCAGACATAGGTCTCATCACAGGGTGAGCATCAGTCTTGGTGCTTGGAACTTGTCTGTGTACCTGCAAAAATAAAAGGTTTTACAGCCTACAGAAATTAAAGGTTTGACAGTATTATTTTAAGTGGTTTGTCACCCTTTATGACATTTTGGGGAAATGACCATGGCATTTAAAGAGATGGTGTGGTTAGGTTAGCTCTATTTGCAACAATCTTTTTTAAAATACATCTTAATACAATGCAGTAATTTTTATTTTGAAATTTATATTTTTGAAATAATTGACATTATCTAAGACTTATTTAGACAAAATACGGCTCAAGGTATATCTTGTAACAGACAATGAAACAGTTATTAGCAGTAAAAAAAACATTACCCCATCCAAAAGCTCCAGTGTGGCCAGATTTTTCCAGATTGTCTTGTGAAATGTAATAATTTCCTTGTCCTCACTGGTGATGGGGTTAGATGAGACACTTAGCTCATACAACTCAGGCAGACCAGATAAGGCAAACTGAGGAAAAATATAATTTTATACAAACCATTTCTGTTTCTTTTTTCAAATAGATATGATTTTAAAGTAAATAAAACATGAATTTAATATGATGATTTGATAAAGTATTTTTTAGAACAATCATACAATAATTTAAATTAAAAACAGCAAGTTAGGGGATATAGGAGTCATAGAATACTTTATCATAATCCCTCATTGGGAGTTGAGTGGGAAACTGGATTTATGATGGGTATAAAAGGGTAGTGTTTGAAAAACATACACACTAATTCTTTGTTTAAAGGATAGTATAGAAAATTAAAATGGAGAGCTAGAGTGACAGATGGAGTTATTATTGTGATTGGGTTGTAAATGTTTATCATGGTAGAAGAAAAAATTGCTCTAGATTTGATATTATTGTTATATGAAATTTTTATCTACATACACTTTTTTACTGCTGTATGTGTACCTACACAATACATGAACAACATGCAAATTAATAAATTAAGTATTGTGGAGATCTTTTTGTAGTCCTTTATTCAATGGCATGAACTATACTACACTACACTAGATTAGAATAAGGTAGAACTTCTTGCCCTCTACATTCCTGAATTATTTCTAACACAAATAAAAAGGATGTAAAACTTACAATTTCATCCCAATTTTTAATGCAGTTTTCACACACATGCAGAATTTGTAATTTGGGACAAACACCAGGCAAGTTAGATAACTCTACAAACTGGTTGCCAGTAATGTTTAACTCCTCCAGTGATCTGCCCGAATAAACAAAAATAACTTTTAATTTTTGCCTCACAAAGAAATTAACCAATTAACAGGCACAGACTGTGTTTTATTTTTTAACAAATGCCTAAAGATTTTAGACTTTTTAAAAAAAATTGTTAAAAATTAGTCTGAAAATAAACAACATTTTTAAAAATGTCTCTTTTGTTTTAATAGAGCCATTAAATTATGACAAAACAAAAACTAACAATACGTATGATATACATTAATTAATTAATGTAGTAATAATTTTTGTGTTGTTTATTAAATGGAAATTTTAGATATAATTGCAGAAAATTCAACAAAAATTATTTCAAAATGTATTACTTTACAAATAAATACTGATGCAATTTTTAGGGAAACTGTTTAGCTATTCAAACAACCAACCTTAGTTTTCCCACGGTCTTGATTGTAGACAGTTGATTATGAGAGACATCCAAAATCTTTATGCCGAGAAAAAAGAAAGATAATGTTACAAAATGAATGTGAGCATGCAATAAAGGCTTTGTGAAACTGCAGTTTATGTCATTACCAAACTACAAAAAAAATTTACTCAAGTGCTATGGTGACTCACTTGAAGGTTTGGTAGATTGGCCAGGCCAGATAACTCTGTCAGTTTATTCCATGACAGATCAACTTCCTGTAGTTTTTTACACTTGGTCAATTCACTGGACTTTTTAAAACGGTTTCTTGAAGCAAAAAGTTCCAGAAGGTTTGGTAGGCAGGTGACAGCCTGGGGGTGACAAGTTCAAAACATTGCAGGGAATGTCAAAATAAAACAACCCCACCATTATCACCCCCTGCATACACCAACATCTTCTAAAATTTAAAAGCCTAACTTGTAGAATTTTTTTTCAATTAATGCAAATATACCTGCATGTGTTGTACAAAGATAAAAAAAGAAGATTGAATGGATAATGTAACTATATTATATATAACATTTATTTTTAAAACAATTGTTTAGAAAATTAAAATAAATATTTTCTCCAACATATTTAATAATATTCCATAAATTATTTAGGATAGAAATTATTTTAAGTAAATTACCAAATGAAATTTAAATGGTAAAGAAAACTCACACTACAATAAAAACATTGCAAAAGATATAATAATCAATTTAAAACTAGTGTTGATTTGGAATTTAGAAAAAATCATGTTAAAGTAATAAGAAAGTAAAAAATGCCATTTTAAAACTTGGTGTCATTTCTTGTTTTAAAAGGGAAAAGGAGTTAACCATAATAGACTTAATGTAATAGTCCTGCTAAAATACACTTAGTGACAGAGATTCAGTTACACTAAACTTACTGATAGAGATTCCTGTTACACTGCATTTAGAGATTCCAGTTACAGAAGACTAACTGATAGAGATTCCATTTACATCAGACTCAGAGATTCCAGTTACAGAAGACTTAGAGATTCCAGTTACACTAGACTTAGAGATTCCAGTTACAGAAGACTAACTGATAGAGATTCCAGTTACACCAGACTTAGAGATTCAAGTTACAGAAGACTTACTGATAGAGATTCCAGTTACACCAGACTTAGAGATTCCAGTTACAAAAGACTTACTGATAGAGATTCCATTTACACCAGACTTAGAGATTCCAGTTTTACCAGACTTAGAGATTCCAGTTACACCAGACTTAGAGATTCCAGTTACACTAGACTTAGAGATTCCAGTTACATCAGACTTACTGATAGAGATTCCATTTACATCAGACTTAGAGATTCAAGTTACAGAAGACTTACTGATAGAGATTCCAGTTACACCAGACTTATACATTCCAGTTACAGAAGACTTACTGATAGAGATTCCATTTACACCAGACTTAGAGATTCAAGTTACAGAAGACTTACTGATAGAGATTCCATTTACATCAGACTTAGAGATTCAAGTTACAGAAGACTTACTGATAGAGATTCCAGTTACACCAGACTTATACATTCCAGTTACAGAAGACTTACTGATAGAGATTCCATTTACACCAGACTTAGAGATTCAAGTTACAGAAGACTTACTGATAGAGATTCCAGTTACACCAGACTTAGAGATTCCAGTTACACCAGACTTAGAGATTCCAGTTACAAAAGACTTACTGATAGAGATTCCATTTACACCAGACTTAGAGATTCCAGTTTTACCAGACTTAGAGATTCCAGTTACACCAGACTTAGAGATTCCAGTTACACTAGACTTAGAGATTCCAGTTACATCAGACTTACTGATAGAGATTCCATTTACATCAGACTTAGAGATTCAAGTTACAGAAGACTTACTGATAGAGATTCCAGTTACACCAGACTTATACATTCCAGTTACAGAAGACTTACTGATAGAGATTCCAGTTACACCAGACTTAGAGATTCAAGTTACATATGACTTACTGATAGAGATTCCATTTACACCAGACTTAGAGATTCAAGTTACAGAAGACTTACTGATAGAGATTCCAGTTACACCAGACTTATACATTCCAGTTACAGAAGACTTACTGATAGAGATTCCATTTACACCAGACTTAGAGATTCCAGTTACACCAGACTTAGAGATTCAAGTTACAGAAGACTTACTGATAGAGATTCCAGTTACACCAGACTTACTGATAGAGATTCCAGCCTATTTGCACTGAGGTCCAGTACTGTAATGTTGGAACAGCTACACAGTTCTCTACTCTCCAGTGTAGTGAGAGCATTATTGTCCAACCTCAACGACTGAAGGTTTCTTAAGTGTCCCAAACCTCGTCCTGTTGCATCAGAGGTAATCAGGGTGATAAAATACATGAACATAATTAACAGTTTATGTAATAAATGAAAGTCCTTTTTTAAAGCTTTTGTGTTAATTAAGACCGGTTAAAAATTATAATAACTATTTACCATTTTTTAATGTATGCCTATTTCCAATACAATAATCTTGTGTGTAACTTAATTTATATAAAGATGTTTGATGCAGTTAGTTAAAGTAGCTTATAAAACATTTCTGCAGCTGAGATTGGCTGACCACATGATAAACCAAATTATGCATTCCTACTGGTAAATTTTTTTTATGTTGAATTAATATTTTACCTATTTTCTTAATCTTATTATGCTGAAGCTGAAGGCTACAAAGATCTTTCAAGCTGAAATTAAAGAATAGCACTGTTAAATTCCACAACTAGTTATGTGTAAACATTATTTGTTAAGAAAACATTATCTAATTAGGAAAAGTACAAGTCTAGAACAAATATTGTTTAAAATGCCTATATAAGAAATGTGAGAGATTGTTTTACCTGTGCCATTAAACTCACCTGTCGAGGCCAGTAATTTCAAGCAGTTCATTGTCATAAAGCTTCAATTCTTTCAGTTCCTTATATTAAAATATTATATTTTGAAACTAATATGTTAAATAAAGAACAAATCATAACAAGTTTATGAAAAATATTTTTGTTGTAATTATGCAAACTATGAATATTTTAGGCTTTTTTTTAACTGAAAGATAAAATATACATACTAATTAAAAACAGAAGTTTAGACTAAAATATTTTTTTTCTTACTTTTAGAATGCTTAGCCCAGAAATATTTTGAAGATAGTTTCCAGATAAGTCAAGAATTCTTAACTTTTGGAAATTTTCAAAGTCAGGAAACTCTGTAAGTTCTTTCCCATGCAGGTCAATTTCAAACACCTTTAGTGGGTCAGATTCCTGGCATAGTTCCAACTGGTGAATTAGTTAAAAATACAGACTGTAAACAGACTCATAGAAAGTGTACACAGTGTTTCTCTTTCTCTACAACTCCAATGGCGGCAATGCCCTCCTGGCGCACATACATCTCTCCCTCCCCCAGGTAAAATAGAAAAACATTAAAGCATTTTTATAGGAGATCTTTACTTTAACCAGTGTTTTAGTTTCTTCCTAGAACTCTCAAGTGCCCCAGCAAAGAGAAAGTTGTCGGAAATAAACCCTGATTTTACAATATGTATGTGTAAAAATAATTTGATTATCTCTGTTAAATAAACATTGTGAATGTATAAAATATTACGATGTATATTTGACTTAAACAAGATATTGAAAACAAAATAAAGTAAAATAGTATATAAATATTTAAAGCCAAAATAAATAACTTAATTATTTTCAAATCCGTTAACTCACAATTTGAGTAGTTGTTAATATAGGACAGCTTTTCTTTCTATTTATTTTCGGTTCAGAATTTAAAGATAGTACTGATTCAGAAGATCTGTCAAAAACACTGCTCTCACTAGAGTCTACTATGTTCTCCCTGCTTTCAGAGTTTCTCCGAACCACTTCTCGTTTTGGATCTGCTCCTTTTCTGCTGTTTTGTTTAGAAGATGAGCTACTTTTTGATGACGGTAGAGAACCAGTAGAGGAGTTTCTTCTAAGTGTTTTTCTTGAGTAGCTAGTACGTAAGAAAACTGATTTAAAAATTTTAGCCAATTAGATAACACAATTTTATAACTACAGTGTTATCAAAATAATTTTCACAAATTCAAATATAAATAACACAGCTAAATTTTATTGTTTAGAATGTTACTTTTTTGTCAAGATGGAAATAACATAAAAACCTTTCAGACTTAGCCGGAGGAAGTTGGTTTAAATATTTTAGCAAATTAGATAACACAATTTTAAAACTACAGTGTTATCAAAATAATTTTTACAATTTCAAATATAAAAACTTGTTTAGAATGTTACTTTTTTGTCAAGATGGAAATAACATAAAAACCTTTCAGGCTTAGCCTGCGGAAGTCCAGCTGGTTTTAGCTGGTTCTGGCTTGCTGGGGGACGTGGACATATTGTCATCACATTAACTGACTTTCCTAATGTATGGGGAACAGGCCCTACTGTTGGTGTGCTTTTACATTTTGTATTCATCTTTGATTTACATAATCCCCAATGTGGTCCACTTTAATAGGCAGGCACTGCAGCATTCCTGGGTGTAAGTAAAAGAAAAAAATACAAATAAATTGGGGATTGTTTACATAGGATATCACACGCCTATAGGAGTGGGATTTAGATTTTTAAGACTAGGATATCAAGAAACATGAGGAAACAAAAATGAAAATGATGAAAAATGTTGATTCTAAAAGATGTTTATTTTATTGCAAGGTATGTAAGGCAGTGCAAGGTGTATGGGGAGGAGGGTGAATATTTGCAATGATAATCTAGTTGGTGGGGGGAGGGGATGTTATGTTTTAGAATTTTGTTAACTACTAAATTTACTATAGAACCTTAACATTAACTTTAATTAATAAGTTATTGTATATGTAGCCTATAATTAATAATAGTATGCCTAATGACTAATGATTACTAATTAAACACATTTGAATTCAAATAAAAAGTTTACACATTATCGACTAGGCCTATCTACTATCTATCTATTAAGGAAATTCTACTGTTACCGATTTTGTCTAGAATCTATTCTAGATTAATGTCTAATCTAATGAGTCTAATGTCTTCTTTTTTCAAACTTTGAAACTTTGTCTGCTGTCTAGTCAGTCTAGTCTTTAAAACTTTAAGTTTTAAGTTTAAATATTATATTAGTATAGCCTAATAATATTAGTATTACTATTAGGCATTAGGCCAAAAACTAAATGATAAATCTTTATACATTAGGCTAATCTAATCATTAGGCCTAGGGCTAGGCCTATACTAACTAAACTATAGGGTCTACTATACTTTATTTTGGTAATCTATCGTTTTGGGTACGTAAAATCGCCCGCGGCTATTAATGTACGAAAACGTTACCTCATTGTCAAGGCTGTAATAGAAGTATATTGTGATATGTTTGTGTCAAATATTATAGATAAATGAATAATAAACCTAAATCAATGGCTAAATATATCAATATATGCCCGAAATTAACTTTAAACAGCAGTGTCTGCAAGCAAGATTTTCTATATAAACAGCAGCCATTTGTAAAATAGAGTGACTTCCGCCTGAATCTTGCGCTATAAGTCTATAAAAATAAAACTTTAACAAGATGGCTGCTATAGTAAGTGAGCATGGTTGCATCTGTTGGAAACATCGCTGGTGTTCATTTATTACTGAAAAGTTTTAATTCAATTGTTTAGAAACAGGTACATAAATGAAACAAGGAAACGTTTTTGTATTTTTCAAAACATAAATCCTCCTCAAAATGTGAAATAATTATTAAAATGTAAGGAGTCACCTGTTTTTCACATTACTAGTCGCGGGCGATTTTACGTACCTAAAACGATAGATTACCTTTCTTTAACTTTAGGCCTATTTTTAATTTAATCTTTATTCTTTTCTTCTCGAATCTAGATTTACTTCCAGTTATCTGATACGCCGAAAAGATAAGGTAATTTAACTAAATTAAACTAAACTATTACTGAACGTTGTGAAAGTACACTAAACATACAAAAAAATATCGTATGATAAAGAATTTACCTGCTGTAGGAACAAGATCTTCAGCGTACTACAGAAGTGATTGTTTACTTGGGAGTTAAGAAGCCATCTTGATTTTATCCAAGGGAGGCTACTATAATTTTTCTTAATAAAAAAATCGTTTAGCAAACGAGTTCTATAAAGTTGCCTACTATTTATTATTTGTTTAATATTTACTGTGGTCTTATAATATAATAACATGGTGTAGATGGTGGTTTAGCAATGTGTTAGGTTGCGCAAGTCGCTGGTAGCTGTTAGATCTAGTAGAGATCAATATTTGTACATTCCATCTATTACTGCTGTATGCCTACAATAGGCGGCAAATAGTAGACTAAGGCGGCAGCAGACTAGTAAACGTATGTTGTGAATTAATCAGAAAAACAGTTGTCCCCCGCATTTAATAGCTTAAAAAACGTATTACAGTATTTAACATATTTCTCTGCAACTGAATTTACGATCTAGATCTATCAAGTTATCAAGCGAGAGTGAAAACTGTAGGCGTAGTTTTGTTTTAGTTAATTAAATGTTTACCAGAAATAGGCCTAAATTTTAAGACACTACAAGACTTCCAAACATAGGCATACTATCTATAAAAATTTAAATGTGAGCTTCAAATCTTTTTTTTTTTTTTTTTTTTTTTTTTGTATGATCATTTGAAGTTCCATGACTCATTCATACAGCCTAGCAGAAAGTACCTTATTTGGAATCCCAGTGCAGTTGTGACACGTTAGCGGGCAGCAACCCATCTTGGAGAGAAAACTCCTAAATTTAACAAGAGTGGAGTCCCCTAGGCAAGAAGACTAACCGCTTCTGCGTCATCTGGTATCAAACGTATTGATTTGTATGGACTAAAGTCGAGGTCCAGCGAAGTATCATGATGCACGGACAGCATATAATCTCTTCATCCCTGGTATGCGTCATGAGGAGCCATATATATTTTTGTAAATAACCGTTTAATTAAGGGGGTAAAAAACACATTCATACAATGGCGTATCCTTTTACAAAATGATGCTAAAATCGCAATAGAATCCAAAGACAATGAATACTTTAACTTGAAGCAAGTTTATAAAAATTGTTGGTGCTTTTAAAAACGTTTAATATTAAAATGTTTAGTTCGTAGTTATTACTTTCACTTATACAGAGTATACATGCAGTTTTTAGTTTTCACCGTTTTAATAAACACCTCAGTACCAGTGTTTCTTCCAGGCATCTCTTCGAAAGGGGGGGGGGGGGGTGGGGTGGGCTCGGCCTCTGCCCAGTAAACTATGTTTCTTATCAATCGGTAATATTTTCGCAGTGATCCACGATGGAGGAACACTTAACCAACCATCGTTCATTACCGGGTAGCTAAAATGATGCACAGCTCACTTTTGCGCCTAGTGTCACACCGTATTAACAAGGATCAGATCGATTTCCCAATCCTACGTTTATCCGGTGAGACACAATCATTATATTCTTCTTTCCCTTGTGTCTGACTCGATGGCTAAATTCTGATGAAAATGTTTCGCATATTTGTAAGACTAAATTATAAAAATACCTAGGTTTTTTTTAATAACAGTCTTGAATTTTCGTCTTGCTTGTATTCTTTACTGTTTATTTTTGCTTTACCTCAATTTAATCAGATATTGTTTTTTACTAGCCAGCGGGTAGAATTTGAACACTCCTATCTTAATCAAAGGAACCTCACTACTTAATGAAATACAAAACCAAACCTTTTTTTTTTTTTACATTCGTAAGTTACCTCCCTTAGTTTTTGCACCATCTCCCAACGAATTCTTCGTCACGTTCCACAACTCGTTTCTGCCCGTTGTCTCCCTTTACAACACGTAATTCGGACATCCTGAGCTCGTTTATCAAAAAACTGATCCAATAACTTCTATTCCTATTCACCCATCACTAAATCCTGTTGTATCCACGGGTTCATTTGATCAACGTCTGCTGTATTTCTCATTCGCCTTTTAATTAATCCCCCCCCCCCCACCAGGATAATAAGAAAGGGGCACGTAACTCAATTTTTGAAAACCAGAGTTACCCCGACTACTTGTTTTCATCTGTTCTGTTTTGTTTCGTTTCTTCTTTATTTGAAATTGACAATGCACGTTCATGATACAACAGTGCTAAAACGATAACAAAATTTTAATTTTAATAAATCTTCGAACAATTTGACTGGAAAAAAAATTGTCTGTATCACATTTTATTCTTCTGTGTCTTAACCCCCTTGAAAATAATTTCACTTATTTCCCTTTATACGTGTGTGAGAGTCGGCCATCGCAATGCTTTGGGAGAGGGGGGGGGGGGGGTCAGGCTGATTAGGGAGCCCAAAAAATCGTGGCCAATTTTTTTGTTCAAAATTTTAAGAATTTTTTTTTCTTTAGTTTGAACTGAGGTGGAGGTTGAGTTCTCTTCTCCTATGTTCCATGTATACGCAGTTCCAGACATTTCTTTGAAAAGATAGTGCAAAGTCTAGCCCGAGAGGCCGCTCGCACGGTGTTTCTTTGTAGACACGAATAGGAGAAAAACTCCATGGTCAAAATGTATAGTATTGTTCAATCTAAAATGAACGTTTGTTGTTGGTAGAACCACTAGATATACCCTGTGTTGCACAAATAATTAAAAACTATATTTTTCTTCTGTTTCTTTCTCAATTGTAACGATGAAGGGAATATCCTGCAACACAATCAAATGTTACTTGTCAAGACCTTTAATATAACTGTTCTGATATTCTTATATATTTAACAACGACCTTTGATCTACAAAATCTCAATTCTGCGAAGTAACTACGTGTGGACGATCAGTTTAGGTCAGTATTTGGTTTGTTTAAAAGCGATTGCTTTAATCTGTGGTTATATCGATTCTCAGGAGTTCGGCAGAGTTCAAGACACACACCCGACCCATAATTCACGATTGGAATTCCGCCAGTGCGGACGATAAAAGTATTGCGAAGGGTTCGGTGAATGCGCATATGAAACGGTGGGGTTCGGTTAAAAACCACTGATTACGCTAAAGTTTTCCCGTGAGTTTGAGAGTAAACCACGTGACCTAGCAAAAGATGGCCCCTAAAACATGTCATATAGTATCCGATCTAATTCAGTTGAAATTCGTGTAATTCAAATAATCCGCTCTGCTTTTATGAAGAAGATGAATATAATTTCATAATACTACATATTATTTAGCTAAAATTACACGGATATCTATCATTTACTAGTCAGATTGCCCACTCTCTAGTTCTATCTCTTTTTCTCTCTTTCCCTCTCCTATTACTTATGTATAAATTGTTCCTACTCTCAATAAAATACCAGTCAATAACTAGCTTGCCTATATAACACTTAAAATAGCATGCAACGTTTATTAACACTAGCCGGATACATTTTATTAAAATCGACCATTTGTCTACGTGACTAATTAAACTACAACACACGAGTTTACAGTAGCCAATCTAAACTCTATAAAAGTCAGACGTGTGAGCCGATCAGACTATTAAACTATTTGAACCTGAGCCTGCAGTGAGCATACATTCCGTCATTATGTCTGCCACGTTGAACGTTTGCTTGTTGCTTGTGTTTGTTGTTCTTCTAGCAGGTCAGCAGTTTTTTACTTGAATGTTTTAAATTTTTCCCGTGATATTCCACCTTAATGTTTATACTTTTTCAGTGATATTCACCTTAATGTTTTACATTCTCAGTTATCGTTTACCGTAATATTTATACTTTTCAGTGATATTTCACCTCTATTTTTTTTTACCTTTTCAGTGATATTACACTTTATATACGTAACGAGAGAAGAATTATAATATTGCAAAAAGTTGAAATCGAAATTATAACCAATCTTGACGATTTTAAAGTTTTCTAATTCGGAGAAACAAGATTTACAATAGTGTGTGCAGAGGCGTAGCGACCCTTCCCGGCGCCCGGGGACAAACTTTTCGATTTGCAACTCCCCCTCAGGATTTCGATTTGCATCCCCCCCTCAAAATTTCTATTTGCGCCCCCCCCCCCTCAAACTTTCAATTCGCACCCCCTCAACCTTTCAATCTATTTTTCCAACCCATTTTGGCGCCCCCTAAGGTCGGCGCCCGGGGACATATGTACCCCCCCCCCCCGCCCCCTCGCTACGCTACTGAGTGTGTGTGCATGCGTGCGTACGTGTGTATGTCTGTCTGTATTATTATTTGAACACGATTATTTGGGAACCATTTCAGTTAGGTAGACAAAGTTTTATACCTAGGACCAAGTATTACTTTCTAGTCTCATGTTTTGAGCAATTTTCACGGCTATTTGAAAACCGGTTAGTGTACACATTAAAGGATTTTTAAAATTATTCAAACGTTTTCTTCACTTATTTTTTTGTGCAGTGAAATAACGGGTGAGATTAAAAATTTTAATTTTTTTTTTTAAAGGTAAAATAGAGTCGTCAATTTTCAACGCCTAAATATTAGATTTTGTGTAACCAGTGGCGTAGCCAGGATCGTCTCAAGGGGGGGGGGGTCCAATTTTTACCCGGAGACAAACTTTCGATTTGCACCCCCCTCAAACTTTCGATTTGCACCCCCCCTCATACTTTTTATATATATAGCGAGGGGTCTATGGGGAGGGGTTATGACCCCCCCTAACCCCCCCCCCCCCCCCTGCCTACGCCACTGAGTGTAACATATTTTATTAAATACACACCAACGTTTGGTTGTTTTCTATGCTAGAGAGCTGCGTCGTGATGAGGCGAAGAAGATGTGGTACAGTAGATCAGAGATGTCCGATTTCCCACCCACTTAGGACGTTCGAAACCCTCATTAATTTGATTACGTACCCGGATTGTGAGTGAGTTGATTTTACATTTTTTTTTTAAACTACTGTTTTATTTTAAATCATGCAGAAGCATCGAACACGTCAAATATCAGTTCAGTAGGACGGTGCACCTTATACTAACATATGCTGATGGAGTTGTTAGCGCAATTTCCATACGGACAATTGCGATTATTAACTCGTCCTTTCTGGATGTATGAATGAATGAATGGATGGATGTGTGTCCGCAGCTTTAAGTCGTATCTCCTCCTCAACGAAGCAATATCGAGGACTAGTTCCAAAAGCAAATATGTTAAGCAAGTTCCAAGA